AGACTTGATATTTCTCCCAGCGTGTGTGCACGCCCTGCTAGAAGGGGCCTCCTCAGCTGTGGGACAGCCATGTGGGGAGTCTTCAGGGGGATCATACACCTGGGAGGTGCTGTCAGGTTCAGGATCCAGGGGGCACCACAGTGGGCACCGGGCCCGAGGGCAGCAGCAAGAGCAGTGGTGCCAGGACCGAGAGCAGGTGGCTGGGAAGGCACCGGAGGCCCAGCCCCGGCCTCAGGGAGGGGGCCCTCAGAATCCTGGCAGCCTGTCCCCTGACTCAGGGGCCCTGCCCAACCCGTGTTTCTGGTGCACCCGGTCCTCACTAATGTCGCTGTTAGCAACGAGGATTACTTCCATCCAGCACATCGTGTGGAGTCCGGGACTCCGGCAAGGCCCGCTCCCCTCCTGCTTCTCTACCTGCTGCTTCCTGGGCTCCGTGTCTCTTCTCCCAGACCCTGAGCCAGCTCCAAGTTCAATCCCAAAGCTTCATTGTTCTTGCTCCACCTCCTCTCTGTGGATCTCAATTGCCTCAGCCTCCACTCCAACCTTTGTGTGTTAGATCTTTGCCTCTATGCCTGCCATTCTGTGGGAGATAAAACTACATTTTTGAGGACTGGAGACTTGGGGATCAAGTATTTATGGAGTCTCTGCCATGTACCAGACTCTAGAACAAGCACATCACAAAAAAAAGTTCTATTACTTTGCCATTTTTCAGATAAAAAAACTGAGGCTTTGGAGCTTATGAAATGACTGCAAACTCGGGTCTTTCTGACTCCAAAACGGAGGTCTTTTCCTTGGCATACGCGATGGTGACTGACTCACAAATAGTTATTACAAGTCTTCTTCCCCCTCCTTTCCTCTTTCCTCCCGAAGACGCCCGAAAGAGCCCACCGTCACCCGAACTCAGCCTCTGGGAAATGAGCTTGGCAGTTTGGCCCCATCCTTGTCACTCCATCTCCTGCCTTGTCAAGGGTTTTGTTCTCTCCCATGTGCACTCAGTATCCCGCCCTTCCCATCCTTCCAACATGCACCCAAGAAGGCTGCTGAGGCAATGGCAGCAGAGGGGTGGCAGGGGCCATCTTGTCACTGCCCCTGGCAGGCACGGGGACCACCCACGCTCCCCCAGAATTCCCAACTCGCCCACCTGCCTGACTGGGTCCTTCCTCTGTCCTCACTCTCTCCCTTCACTCTTCCTTCCTAATCTAACTGTGAGGCACCAAATGGAGTCAGCTTCGTTTCCATACATACCAGGAACCAGTGAGACGATTGCTTCAGATAGACTGGCTGATGCAGGGCTAACTCCAGAGCAAGGCTGTCCCAGGGCCTCACCAGGAAAGAACGCGCAGAGGTCAGGGCTCAAGTTCAGATCCTGCTGCCCGCCCCCACACAGATGGATAACTCTCAGAACTCCTTTGTTTCCAGCAAGAAAAAATAGTCCTCCCTCCCCAGACTCCTCCCAGCCTGCCTGAGCCCAGAGCAACTGCAATGTAATTGGGCAGCGTGCGTGCCAACAGCTACTCTAACAGGAGCTCAGAGAAAGAAATTCACTATGATTACATCCCACCCACGGTCCTGAGAATTTGGGGCTTACGAGAAGATAACTAGAGGATGGCTTCCTGAAACTGGGGGAAGAGGTCAGGGAAGGAGCCGAGTCAGGAAGGACCCAGAATGTCTCTTGACTAGATTTCCCAGGCTGGATGCGAAGCTAGGTTTCTGTTAGCTACCAAGGACACAGACATTACCTAGATGATGTTTCAGGGACCAGGGCAACTAGTATTCACCTCCAGCAAGGCTGAAGAGAGACACAAAAGGCAGAACTGGGAAGCAGAATGAGACAACTGACTCAGTGCTGTTTTATGTCTCTACGGAAAAACAGAAGATTGGGGACTGTGCTGGTGGGCCCCCCTTCTGCAGCAGTGCGTGTACAGACCTCTAGCCTGGTGACATGATCCACCTAAGTTTTGCAGCCATTATTAAAAATCAAATGACATAAACTTACAATTAAATCAGTTACATAAAAAAAGGAGATCAGTACTAAGTATTTCACTACTAGAGGCCCTGTGCATGAAAATTCATGCCCTGGAGGTGGTGGTCCCTCAGCCTGGCCTGCCCCCTCTCACTGTCTGGAATCCCTCAGGAGTAGGAGGTGACCCAGCAATCAAGGGAAGGGGAGACCCCATCACACCTCTGCTGCTGTCGCTGCCAGCAGCGCAAGCCTTTGCCGGCCCTGGATACCTGAGCATCAGGTGGCCCTGGACAGCTGGGCAACCGCCATCCAAAGCTTACCTGCACCTTGGGCTGGCCCTCGGCAGCTGGGGAAGCTGAGGGGACTGGGGGACTCCAGAGGCAGGCATGTGGAGGAGCCCAGCCTTGCCACAAGCCTGCTGCCCTGGCGAGGCTGAGAGGACTGAGTGCCACCATCTTATGGCTGTGTGCGCCACCATCTTTGAGGGGGTGTCGCTCAATTAGCATATTCCCTCCTTATTAGCTGTGGGTGCTGCCATGTTTGTGACGGTGTGAAGGTCAATTAGCATATTCCCTCTTTATTAGATAGGATGATTCCCTCTTTTCTCACTACTTGAGGTTATTGACACATATGGTATCTGGACAGTGGAAATACTCTACAGTGGGTGCTACTGCTCATTCTCCCGACTCCACACCAGGAATATTACATTGGTAGCCTAAGTCAGCCATGGTGGGAGAACTTACATCACAGAAATGGCAAAAGCTATACACCAAGGCTTCCCTGGCTCCTATGCACCCCCACCTTCTCCCAAAATCGCTGTTAAACATTTTCCACCGCAAGTGTTTCTCTCCCGCTCTAATGCGGTTTCATGTAGGAGAAACAGCAAATGATCAAGAGGTCCCTGGAGCAATATCCTGGGAGCAGGATCTTCCCTTGCTGCTCCCAGCAGTGGCGATGACATAATCACTGCCGTCCAGCCGGGATGGGAGACCTTCCCTGGCTTCCCTGGTGAGTCACCCTGCCAGGAAGCTTTTCCAGAGTCTCTACAATCTCTCTCACTGCTTATTAGTGAGCTTTTCTTACCAGCGCCTCGCTGTTCTCACCCTTTAAGGGAAGGCTCGGTCTGAGCATGACTCCCTGGTTCCTGGAATAGGGAAGGTGATGTCATTCGACACAGCCCGTAGCTACAGCCAGCTGGCTGCCTCCCTCCCTCACTGCCCTGCTACAGGCCAAACAGGAGGCTCCTCAGCGTCATCCCGAGGGCCTTGAGCCATCCTAGTCAGTCCTCTGTCTTAGGGCAGAAGTGTGCCAGGCCCAGTGCCCTGCCAAAGACCTAACTATCTAACAAGCCATCTTCTGGCTGCAGGGCAAACTCCAGTGCAAGGGTATCCCAGGCTCTCACCAGGAAGAAAGCACAGTATGAGTAAAAGTGTGTGCAAATCAACGAAGGGATGGATGGTTCCTGCGGTTCTCTGCTCCCCTTATGTTTAACCCCGTCACCCCCTGTATTCCCAACTCAAGACCTTTGTCCCTGGCTCCCTCTGTGCCACCACTGTCTCCTTTTTCCTCAACAGGTTTGTCAAGGCAAGCCAAGCAGCAGGGGCTCCTCATTACCTATAACTAAGCAGCACTCCTGGGCTTGCTCAGTTAAGAAATGTGAAACTCACCCTACCTGGTTTGGCTCAGGGGGTAGAGCATCATAGGCCTGCGGAATGAAGGGTCCTGGGTTCGATTCCTGTCAAGGGCACATGCCTGGTGTTGCAGGCTTGATCCCCAGTAGGGGGCATGTAGGAGGCAGGCGACCATTGATTCTCTCTCATCAGTGATGTTTCTATCTCTCTCTCTCCCTTCCTCTCCGAAATCAATAAAATGTTTTGTTTGTTTGTTTTTTAACATTTTAAACCCAGATATTCTGAGGTCCATCATACCCATACCTCATGTGGCCCCAGGGTAGGAGAAAGGAGAATTAGAAAGCCCAGTTTTGCCTCAAGAGAAAAAGAGGCAAAGAGAGAAGGAAGGCTATCAACAAGCAGGTGGCTGGGCAGAGGCAGGCAGACCTGACTATGAGATCCCATGCTCTTCAGAAGACCCTCGATCCCCAGACCAGACCCAGGTGCTGCTGTGAGCCTGGGCAGCCACCATGTATGGAGTTCAGCCGCCATTCCACGAGAGCCGGTGGAATTGGAGACATGATGTTTAGAGCTCCCTAAGGGTAGAACTTGGACCATTGGATAAATGCTCTACAGGGGCCAAAATGATTTCGGTAGAAGAAACATGTCTCCGATAGTCAGAGGCTGAATGGACTGCACTGGCAGACAGGTGCTGCCATGAAAAGAATTCAGGAAAAGGTTGGAATGGCCTTTGCTGGGAATACTATAGCAAGAATTCAAATATTAGAGAAACAGCCTGACGTCTTAGCATCCAACATGCCTGGACCAAGTAATTCTGTCTAAATCATTACCTGTGTTGCCTTGCTCTCTCTCTCTCAGAGGGTCAACATCTAATCCCTCTGACCCTCAGTTTCCTCATCTGTGTAATGGGATAATGCACAACCTCGGGACTAAAGTAAGGATTCAATAAGACAACATATCAGAAAGCAACTGGCACTTACTGAGTGCCCAATACATGTCGATTCCCTTTCCATTAAGGGGTGTGGGGGTATCGCCCCTCTCCAAGGTCTTTCTACCCAGAGTGTGACTGAGTCCCTTCCCAGTTGTCCAGAGGGAAGGCTACATCTGGGAGAGACAGGAATGTCAGGATTGGGAAGATGTGGGCAGGAGGAAGAATGGTGCCTATAGAACGGTCTGGAAACATTCAAACAGGTCGTCCCTGCAAGCTCCTTGTCCTCCCACCCCTTCTGACCTTCTAGAAAGAGAAAGGTGGGATTCTGGGTTTTCAATCCAGCCGGGGGGGCGGGGGGTGTCTCAGTTTCCCCATATGTGTATCGAAGGAGGAAAGGGTCCGGGACGATGCAGAACCACAACCCGAAGCCAGCCTCCGCACGCGCTGCCCAGCCCTCGGTGAGCCACAGCCGCCGTCGTCCTCGGTCTTTATTGCGCTAACACTGCCGCTCAGAGCCCGGATCTCACCCCGAACCATCCGGTCCAGAACCCACCCGCCCGGCCCCGGGCCCTCGGCTTCGGCCGGGATTCCCGGCCTCGGCCCCAACCCCTCAGGCACGCTCTCTCCTCTTCCTCCCAGAGCGCTACGGCCAGGGGGTGTGAGAGGTCCGAGGAGCCTTTACCTCCCGTCCCACCTCCCACTCTGGGGAGCAGGCTCTGCCTCCCCGCTCGTGTCCCGAGAAGAATGCCTTCCGTCCGCCTCCGCAGCCCCGGGGGCCCCGGGGGCGGCGCTCACACCACCAGGCCGTCCTTGCCCGGCCGCGGCCCCCGGGCGCAGTCCTCGGCCTGGGCGCCGGTGACCTTGATGTAGACCGGGGCGGGGCCCGCCTCGCAGGCGGCGGCGCGGGAAGCCAGCGCCACGTCCTCGGGGCCGCAGGGCGGGGGCGCGCACCGGCGCTGGGAGCGGCGGGTCTGCGGCGGGTACCCCAGCAGGTGGGCGACGCGGCTGCCGCGCCCGCGGGCCTGGCACCCGGGCGCCACGGCGTCCTCTCTGCGGAGACAACGGGCGGGCGGTGAGCGGGGAGCGGGCTCCGAGGCCCCGCAGGCCGGCCCCGCGGAGCCCGGACTGATCATCCCCGGCTCCGGGCGCCCCCTCCCGCGGCGCCTCCCGGCCCGGCCCCTCGCCCGCCTGCCCTCCGCCTCCTCTCCCCCGCAGGCGATCTCAGCCCCTTTCGGATGCTGCCCTCCAACCACCGGCTGGGACAGGTGGGGACCTCGGGGACCCGGAAGATGCTGTCCTGGTCCTTCTCCCCTCACCCCCTGCCCTGCCCTCTGGTGCGCCCCTCTCTTCTCACCTCCCGCCCGCAATCTTCACATTTTCCTCCGTCCCATCCCGGCACTGCAATCATTAGCACTGCAAGTCTTGTTCTGTTTTTATTTCTAGTTTGTTTCTAATATAAGTTAGCAGCACTAGTCTTAAATAGTTTTAAAAGCACACGACCAGAGCTCTCACCACTCCCCAGAGGGGAAACGTGGGGAAGCAGGCCCTGCCCTCCAGGAGCTTACAGTCTAGGCAGAGAGGGGCGCGCCAGAGCGGGGCGCACGCGGGCGGAGGGGGCGGGGGCGGAGCTGGAGTCTGGGCTGAGGCGGGAGATGAGCCCCGCGGCCCGGGGGGCAGGTTGGCAGCCGCGGTCCCAGCGCTCCGTGGCGGTGGCGGGCCAGGTTGGAGTGGCGGGCGGGCGGGGGTGAGGAGGGGCAGGGCGCCGTCCCCTGTCCGCAGCGGCATGCAGCATGCATCAGGTTTTACCTGATCTCATTGGACAAGTCTCCGCAGGCCCCTCCGCAGGCCCCGCTGCGGTTGCCGTAGCCGAAGGCGCTGCGGGCCCCGCCGGCTCCCCCGCAGCAGCAGCAGGTGAGCGCCCAGATGGCCAGCAGCAGGCAGCCCAGCAGGAGCAGGGAGCCCAGCACCGCGCCGACGATCATGCCCGCACGCCGGGAGTCTGCGGGGAGAGAGAAGGGGAGGCTGGTCAAGCTCTCCCAGGGCAGAGAGCTCCCTGGGAAAGGGGCTCAGGACCCTGGGACACTCAGTGAGGAAGATGGGAGTGGGTAGGGGGTGAGAGATGCAAGTTAACCCCTTGTTTGCACATTTCTCCCAGGGCTTCCCACCTGCCCTAGGCAGAGGCCTTACACAGGATGCAATGGGCAGGCAGAGCCAGCTCAGGCTCCAAAACACGGCCCGGCTCCTCCAGGCCGGCTATGGGGCCCCCAAGGCCAGGCACCTACCTGAGCCCTTCATCTCCACCACGCACACGCTGTAGCCCACGTGGTTGGCCACCGTGCACTGGTACAGCCCGTCGTCCTCCTTGGAGATGTCCTTCAGCACCAGATCGCCATTAAACACACCTGAAACTGGAGGTTTCACAGGCCCACCGTGAGGCGAGGGGCCTGGGGTCTGAGCGCCTCACCCCTGCCTGGGCACTGAGAGGTGGAAGGAGGAACAGTGTGGGCACACATACTCGGGTCCACTCCACACCCCAGGTGAGTTACCCTCCCCCTGCTGAAACAGAGAAGGTAGGAGGAACCCCTCGGCCCTGGCTGGTTTGGCTCAGTGGATGGAGCCTGCGGACTAAAGGATCTCAGGTTGGATTCCCCTCAAGGGCACATGTCAAGGTTGCGGGCTCGATCCCCAGTAGGGGGCGTGCAGGAGGCAGCCAATCAAAGATGCTCTTCATCATTAATGTTTTTATCCCTCTTTCCCTCTCAGAAATCAATAAAAAATATATTTAAATTTTAAAAAAAGAACCCTTCCACCAGCAACAGGACTGAGACATCACTAATGCACTGTGTGCCCCTTCTCCGAGCCTCGGCCTCCTCCTTTGTACAGTGAAGCTGGGGTCACAGCAGAGGAATTCTAGGGCCCCCTCCTGCTGTTGGGTTCTGAGTGCTAGCCGGTTTCTCTGTATGCCGGCAGCTTTGCACCCTTCACCCCATGTCATCCTCAGGCCCCTGGAGGAAAGATATTCTTACTCCCTTTTCTTGCAGGATGAGCCAAGGCACAGAGAGGGTAAGCCACTGGCCTGCTTCTTGCAGTCCGCAGTCCAGCCAGGACTCAAGCCCAGCTCAGCTGTCAATCTCAGACTGCGCTCTTTCCAAACCAGCCACACCGCTTTGGGCTGCCCCTGCCCTGCCCCTCTGCCTCCTCTTCTCTCCATGGCAGCTTCTGAAACAGGCTCTGAGGAAGCGTCTCCCCCAGGGATTCTAGGTCAGACTTGGTGCCACTGATGGCTCAGGGAGGCCCCAGCGGGCCCCCAAGTCCTGACCACCCACTCGTCCCGCCTGCCTCACCTTGATTGATGGAGCTGTGGAAGGACTCCTGATAGGACAGCTCCGACTGGAACGTGTGCTGCGAGTGGTAGGATCCCGCCCGGTAGGGATGGGTCTGTCCGCTGATCTTGGCCCACTTGTAGGAGAGGGGTGGGGTGCCCCCACTGGCGAAGCACTTCAGCACCACGTCGTTGCCATACGCCATGTGGCCCTCAGACCAGCACATGGGCACTGCGGGCCGAGCTGCAGGGAAGCGGGCAGTTGTGAGCCAGGCTCGGCCCAGAGGCACAGCTGGGTTCAGAGCGGCCATGCTGGCCTTGGCTCTGAAGCCTAGGGACGAGGAGCCCAGCAGAGATGAGCCATACCTTGAACGGTGACAATGACCTTCCGGGTGGCCATTGTGGTCTTCTTCACCCGGCACTCGTAGGTGGCCGTGTCGGCGACCTGCAGGTTCATGAGGTTGATGGAGGCATCGTACTGGCTGGGGTCTGAGGCTGCAAAGCGAACCCTCTGCTGCAGGTGGGGGAGGTTGCCGTGGTTGATTCTCTTGTCCTGGTAGCTGAGGAACTTGCAGGAAGAGAGGAAAACAGGGTGGTGAGGCAGGCAGAGCCCAGGAGGCCCAGGTGGGCACGTCACTCAAGTTTTCTGAGACTCGCTTTTCTCAGCTGAAAAGTGGGGAAATGATGCCTAGTCCACTGACCCCTTACAAAATGGGTGGGACCAAGTAAGAGCAAGTACTTTGGAACACATAAGGGAGAGTTGGGAACTTTTTTTGTTCTCTCACCTAAGGATACGTTTATTGATTTTAGAAAGAGAGGAAGGGAGAGAGAGAAAGAGAGAAACACTGATGTGAGAGAGAAATATTGATCCATTGCCTCCTGTACATGCCCTGACTGGGGATGGAACCCACAACCTAGCTTTGAGCCCTGAGCAGGAATCAAGTCCACAACCTTTTGGTATACAGGGCGATGCGCCAACCAGCCGAGCCACCCGGCCAGGGCATGGGAACTTCTGAAGGCAGGCACCACCCCTTTGGAGTGATTGCAGAACTCTCATCCCTGTTGCCCCATTCCACAAGAGGCCTTGGGGGAAGTTCAAGGTCTTGGTTTTATTATCTGTGCCCCCCCTCTCCTCAGAGTGTTGGCTGGCCATCAGGTAGACCATGGAGTGAGGGTAAGGGGCACCATGTGCCCAGGACTCACCACATTCTCCCGATGTGCAGGGTCTGCATTGACCTGCATCCACTCGATGTCCAGCCCACTGGGACCGTAATCCTCAGGGTCCAGGATGTAGGGGCAACCCAGTCTTACATTATCACCTTCTGCGAGGTACAGGATCTCCTGGCCATCCCCGTTGATCCGCACAGCAGACAGCAGTGCTAGGGGAAGGGGAGAATGGGTCAGGTCAGGGGAACTGAACCAGAACTTGGGTCATCGGCTTCAGCTTCCCCCTCCCCCATTCTATCAGCAGCAACCCAGGCTCATTTGGGGTTCCACAGGAAGGAGGGGCTGCTCCAAGTGTGTTTCTGTGTGTGTGCATGAAGCAGTATATGCAGGCCTGTGTGCACATGTGTGTATGCATCATATTCTATGATGTGTAGGACTGCATCTGAATCCTGTTTGTATATTTATTTATAGCTGTTAGTTATGCTTGTATGTATGCATGATTGTGTATGCATGTAAGATTACGTATGCAAGTATAATACATGAGTGCTATTGAGTATTTGTGGCTGCTTATGTGTACAGTAAGGATACTCATGCCATGACCAGGTAGGTTGTCAGCTTTTATATTTATACTAGTGACCTGGTGCACAGATTCATGCACATTGAAAGAAAATTAGAAGGTGGCCAGCGGGGTGGTACTGGGTGAGATGGGCCAGACACACCCTGGAGCCAGTCTCCCATGGTCCTTCCCTAGCAGGGTGGCACCATTGCAGAGTGAGTGGGGTCCCTCGGCCTGACCTGCAGGGATCAGACCAAAACCAGCTCTCTGACATCCCCTGAGGGGTCCCAGAGTGCCAGAGGGCACTCTGCAAAGTTGCTATTATACAGGGTGTGGAATGCAAACACAAGTGAGCAGTAACCAGATTTGGGGCTGAGAGTGCCCAGCAACAACATAACCCATGGCTGAAGGTGGAATCCTGCAGCCCCATGAGGAATTGGGCTCTCTCTTCTCTGGTTTTGGGGTGCGTCACTCAAGAACCACTGCTGCCAAGTCACTGCAGCTTGGCAGCTCCTGCATTGAGCGTCTGCCCCCTGGTGGTCAGTGCGCATCATAGCGACTGGTCAGATGGTTGGACACTTAGCTTACTAGCATATATATATATATATATATATATATATATATATATATATATATAGTTGTGTGTGTGCGTGTGTGTGTGTGTGTGTGTGTGTGTACAGTGTGCACATGGAGCACACAGAGCTGTTAAATGCTCTGATAGAGGAGCCTGGCTGGTTAAAAGCTGCTTCTGTCTGGGCCACATGAAGTGCTCCTACCTGGAGGCAGGAGGATTGGACAGCATCACCTCTGGGGTCCCTTCCCATCCCAAGGAGTGGAAGACTGGAATGTCCATGTGCGTCTTGCGTATGATGGTGCCCGTCTGGGGCTGTATGCCTGTGCGTGACAGCAGGTGCCTGGTTGTGTCAGGACTCTGAGTGATGGTGCATGCCTGTGCATGACAGTGGGTGGCCATGACTGAGCTGAATTCGTGTGTGACGGTGAATAATGGTGTGCCTGGAATTGAGGCCACATGCATCTGTAGGACAATGAGCCTGTGTGATAACGTGTAGCAGCGTGGACTGCGTGTCCTGCCTTCTGGTCATTGTGAGGCTCAGGTACAGCTGCCCCATATGCTCACTCTGCTCAGATCCCCTTCCACTGAGTCAGCCTGGGTGAGGACCTGGGGTCCGGACACTCAGCACTGAGCTCCTCTCCTTTTTATTCTGAAGCCCCAGGCAAGCACTAGCCCCAACCAGTTGGACCTAGAGAGGAATAGAACCTACTTGGCAGGTAGGGCAAGTAGGCTCTGCCTCCCAATCTCCTGCACCCCTTGCTCCCCAGACCCCTTGGCCCAGCCTGGATCACTCCCTTCATTCTTTGTTGAGAGGCACCAAGTCCTTTGGGGTTTCAGCCCCTGGTGTCAGCTAATCACTCTGCTCTGCCCTTCTCTGGCTCTCTCCTGAGACCCACCTCACAGCTAGACAGCATCGCAGACACACAATTACACAGCCACAGCCAAACACACATAGACACGCTCTTACAAGCCTTCTAAGTGCAGGGACGCACTAATGGGGTTCCATCTTCCTACACACGAATACTATCAGATTCATACAGAGACACGTCTGCACACCAACACGAGTCCAGATTCATCCGGAAGACACGCCCACTGCACACAGGATAGTCCGTGTGTGCTCATTCAAGACCAAGCCTACCTGCAGGAGCTTACCCGGTTCTAAAGAGCCAGCACGCACTCTTGCGACACCCAACAGCGCAGGCATCCTTGAACTTGCCCCTCAGAACCCTGGCTAGACCGTCAGCCCCACTCTAACCCCGCTAGGCTCCGGGGGCACCCAGAGCGGGCAGGCTCCCCGCTGTGGCCCTAACGGGACCTGGCGGTGCCTCCTCCAGCCCCAGACAGATCATCAGCTCAATTTCCGAGATAAGGATCCAGATGCCATCTGCCAGGTCCTGGGGCGGCACAAGGCAAGCCAAGGATGAGCCAGCACTCCTCGGAGAGCAGAGCCTCTGCCCTAAGGACTTCCGGAAGCAGACCACAGAGAGAGGACTCTTTCCTGCAGCCAGGGGCCAGCCGACCGACCGACAGACCGACCGACCGGAGGGTAAGTGTTCAGGGAAGGGACCTGGAAGGAGGGGTGAGCTGGAAGAGTGCCTGCACCCTGCACTAGACTCCGTGTCTTCCTTTGTCCCAGACCCGGGAGCCTCACCCTAGCTGTTCCGTCTCTCTAGAAGCTTCCTCAGTCTCTTCCTAAGGGCTCCAATCTCTCTGCTCGCCTTTACTCTCCTGGGGAAGTTCTTCCTGGTGTCTCACCCTGATTTCTCTTGCTGTGAGGGAGTAGGAGAGAAGAGAGAGGCGGGGAGAGAGGAAAGAGAGCCAGAGAGGAATCTCCCTGGGCAGAGCGATTCAGGGAGACGGGAGGAAATCCCAGCGGGCTGCAAGGAAGAAGGCAGTGCTGACTAGTCATCGCCCAGGGGCTGCGCCCTCTGTGGATGTCACCTCAACAGAAGTGTCTATTCTCGACTGGAAATCCTTTGTGAATTTCTAAGCTGCTTCCAGAGCTCCTAACCCTCCCTCCGGAGGTGCAGAAGGAGCGGGGAGGAAGGGGAGAAAAGGAGCCCCCCCCCCCAAGAGGATATCGGTGCATAAATACATGCAGCACACACCCAGGACACGTGCCACCCACACGGAGATGTGCCAGGTTCCCACTGGCATGGCCAGAGCTTCCTGCACAGGCTCCGCCAGCCCAGCTCTCACCAAACAGGGAGTTGTAGACATTCTGCCAGAAACTCATCACACACACACACACACACACACACACACACACACACACACACACGGGCTGAACATACTTCCTCCTTCCTAAGCTCCTTCCCCCACACTCCCTCGCCCCCCAGCCCAGACCCCGGGGTGGGTCTCCGAGCCAAGTGCCCACACAGAGTGGCCCTTGCTGAGACTTGCCCCAACCTGGGCAGGGAGCCAGGACATCCAGCCTGAGCCCTGCCCTCAGCGGGAGCCCCAGCGGAGTGAAGAGACTGTGGAGTTGCTGTCCCCGCCCTCCTCCTCCGGCCTCAGCCTGGAGGGGAGGTCTCCGGCCAGGGCTGTCACTGGCAGTGCTGAGGCTCTGCCCCTGCAGGCAGCTTCCTGCCCTGGCTCTGGCCTGGGGTGGGGGCCCTCCTGCTGGACACGCACACACACACACACACACACACACACATACACACACACACATACACACACATACACACACACACACACTCCTTCCCAGGCTCCTCCTCAGCCCCCACCCGGCTTTGCTGCTCACCTCCCCATCCACCCCACTCCCAGTTTCCATGGCCCGGAACTCAGGCACTGCAGGTGCATGCAAGTGCGAGCCCCACAGCGAGGGCCACCCGAGACCTCTGCCCCAAACTCTGGGCCTGGGGCTCTCCTGGGGAGAGACTCCTTGGCAATATCCAAACCTGGTGGCAGCAGGGCAAGGGTGAGCTGCGCCCCTCCAGGGCATCTCAGAAACCGCCAGGCTCCTCCCCTCGCCCCTCAGTGCCCCTGTCTCTGCCATCCAGCGTGCGGCATTCCTGCCTGCTGCCTGCCCCATACCTGGGCTCAGGCACACGAGCAGAAGGTGGAAGGCTCCTCGGACGCCCATGTCTCTAGGCTCGGTGTCTCCTCCGCCTGGCTGGGTGTCCCGGGCCGGAGGTAGTGGGACCGGCGGTGGGGCCGGTGATGGTGGTGGTAGTGGTGGTGGTGATGTGTAGGGATGGGTGGAGGGGGGGGGAGACGAGGGCCCAGACACTGCCCCGGGTGGTAGGAAGGCGCAATGAGGGCCTGGCTGGGGAGCAGCCAGAGTTATTTCTATGGAAGGGAGGGGGCCAGGTCCCCGCCTTGGGGAGGAGTCCCCAAAACCCTAATTACCGGGGTGACAGAGTGGCCTACCCAGGCATTACCCAGCCAGCACCCAAGCTCTTCCCTATCCAGAGAGTGGGGCAGGGCTGCCCGTGGACTTGTAATTAGGCACCTGTTAAACCTCCACTTCCTCCTGCCCCATCCTCAGCGGCAACAGTCACCCCCTTTTATGGCATCCGCGGAGCTCCCCTCGCCACTCGGGCTTGTTACCTTCCTCCCCAGGGGAGCATGGAAGAGGAAGGAGAAGCCAAGCTTGGGGAGGAGGGAGTCCAGGCTTGAAGGATTAGCACTGACCTCAGGGCATAGGGGTCCCATTCCCTCTCCACACCCTGCCTCTCCCTGTCCCTGACCCTCTGAAGGGGTCTGTGGGGAGGGGCACCAGGGAAGGGGCACTCGGGCTGGAGGAAAGGCCCAGGCAGAGGAAAGGGGCCCAGGGCTGTCCAGTCCGCCTTCCCCCTGAGGCCTCTGGCCCCTCAACGAAAATCAGCCCTGCTGAGCTCAGGGAGGGGGGGAAGAGGTGGGTTTGGGATCAGGGTCTTCCCCTGGCTGCCCCTCCATGCCTCCGAACAATACCTGATGCAAGGTCATCCTCGAATGTTGGGGATTCCTAGGAACTGGGGTATTAGAGGGGTTCAGCCCAAACTCCCACACAGAACTAAAGCCAGTTCAGTGAGGCCCGAGGGGAGAAGGGCCAGGTGTGTGGAGGGGGCCCAGCAAGTGAAGAGGTTAGTGAGGGGGTGCTGGGAGAACAGGGGAGGGGGTGCCTGGGGGTGCCCCATTCACCGGCGTGTGCAACGTCTCCCCTGAGGACGGCTAAGCCCCATGTGCACTTCTTCTGGGGACTGTTTGGTGTCCTTGCTTCTGTGCACAGAGAGGGAAACCAGGGACCCGCATAGCCCGGCCTGCTCATTGGGGTGACTGAGCAGACAAGTTCCAGCTGGGTGGGAGGGTCCTGGGGGGCTGAGGAAGTGGAGGGGCAGCCCTTGCCGGTTGGTCCAGGGTGGGGGGGGGGGTCCCCAGGACAGGCCTTGGACCTCCCATGTGCGTCAGGAGAGGTGGGTGGGGTCATGAGTGGCCCCATTCAACAGCCCATCCCTTCCCTACCAGGGCACAAGAAGGAGGGGAGAAGAGTCATGGGAGAGGGATGACTTACTACCAGGGCTTCCCCCTCCAGGAAAAATGAGACAGAACAATAAGGAAGCACAAGGACCTCCTACATGGCTGTGCTCCAACCCCCTCCACCCACTCCCCAACCATAGCAGAGTGCTCTGAGGCCCACTGATGTACACAATGAGTACCCTCATTTCTTTCTTTCTTTTGAGGTTTATAGGATTGCCCCGCACACTCCAAAAAGCAGGGGTCATTATCCCACTTAACCATGTGGATCAGGGGCCGGGAGACGCATGAAGATTCAGCTCAGGTGATGCTGCTGGGGCCTGGCCAAGTGGGGGACACCCAGGCATCATGATTCTTGATCCAGAGCAGCCCAAGAAAGGGGCATGGTGACCCCATAGGTTACTAGGCTGACCGCTGGAGACAAAGCATGGAGGGTCAGTGATGAGGAGAAGGCAGAGCAGATGGGACCGGGAAGAGGGAGTAAGGCCATCGTTCCATTAAACTGAAGTGCAGGGTTGGAGTTTAATTGAGTTCTGATTTCAGCTAATGTTAGAGTTGGAATGAAGGTTGGGGTGAAGGTTGGAGTTAATTGGAATTATGAGGCTGAGGTCAGATTTGAGGTTGAGATGGTAATTAAGGTTGAGATTAGGGTTAGCATAACAGCCAGAGCTGAGGCTAGGGTTGACGGCTGGGATCCATGTTATGATACAGAATAGGGTTTACAGCTAAGCCTGAAATGCAATCAAAGGGTGGGTGGAGACTGATGTAGAACTGGGATGACAGCTGGGTTAGAATTGCGTTTTGAATTTGAATTAGAATAGCCTGTGCTTAGGGTTACAAAGTGGGTTAGCGTTATATGGGCAGGAGGATGCATTAGGTTTTATTGTGATGCAGAAAGACCTCAGCCTCCATCTGCTAAAGCCAAGTTCGGCTAGAATGTTTATCCCTGTGCTCTGGGGAATGCCAGTGGCACATGTTGACTGGGGACCCAAGATCTCAGGGAGAGTTACAAATACACATGAGCCCATCTGATGGGCACGAAGCAACTTAATCCGATGGCAAATGTAACCTCTGAAGTCCTGTTCCTCGACCTCAGCTCACCACCTATAGAGCTCCCAGCAGTGATCTGGGGAGGGGACACAGGAAGCTCTTTTCTTTTCTTTTTTTTTCTCTTTTTTTTTAAATATATTTTTTTGATTTTTACACAGAGAGGAACTGAGAGAGATAGAGAGTTAGAAACGTTGATGAGAGAGAAACATCGACCAGCTGCCTCTTGCACACCCCCCACTGGGGATGTGCCCGCAACCAATGTACATGCCCTTGACCGGAATCAAACCTGGGACCTTTCAGTCCGCAGGCCGACGACACTCTATCCACTGAGCCAAACCGGTTTCGGCCGGAAGCTCTTTTCAATGAGTGGGGCTCTCAGATCATATTGAACCAGTAGATAGGGTCTATCAGAAGCAGGTTTCCTGTGTGTGTGTGGGAGGGGGAGAGAGGGGAAGGGAGGGTCCTGCTTTTGGAGTCTAAGAGACAGGAGTTGGGGAAGTCTGAGGGCCGAGGTGCTCCTAGAAGAACAGGCACTGTTGAGGGTACCATGCAGGAGTCCCTCCAAGCCTTAAAAGGCAAGACACAATTTTGCTCTCCTCTGACCCATTGAGGGCTAATTGCCACCTCCTTGCAATTTGGGGCCCATAAAAGAAGCTGTCAGCCTTCCTGCCTGTGCCCTGAGCCCTGCTTGGCTATGGAGGAGGAGAGAGGGAGGAGGTGCGGCAGTCTTGGAGTGAGGGAACTGAGTATCAGTTTAGTTTAGGCCTAGCCCATGGCCTCCTCCCTCTGGAAACATCCCACAGCCGAAGCTTCTCTCTGAGCTTCATCTTCAGTAGAGAAAGAGGACCCGCTCCTGGGAGGACCCCTACCCCAATTCCTCTCTCTCCTTTTCCCTGACCCGGTCTCCACCCAAACATTCTATTTCCCCACCACTTCCCTTTCAGGTCCCATAAAGGTCTGGAGACTACCTGGGTGCCCTCTGGGCCCCCAGGAGAGACAGGGATTACTAAGAGGCAGAGGAACACAGGTGGCACCCAATGGCTCATCTGGGGGTCCTGAAGCAGAAGGCCAGGCTATGACCTCGGGCCCAATACTCACATTTCCAAAGAGGGCCCCTGCTTTTCCCTGAGAAATTTAGAGCTGTCCAGGGGAGAACAGCCCCTCTTTTTTGCATGCCCCACGGTTTGGGTTGTATTTGCTTCTATCTAAGACAGAAACAGAAACTCTAAGACAGAAAGCAATGCACAGAGACCGAGGACAGGGCAAGAGGCAGGTCGAGGACCCAGACAGAGACTGTTTCTGAGATGAGCACAGCCTGAGCCCAGAACATTGCGGGGAAGGCCAGGAGGGAGGCTTGGTCCCCCTACTCTTCCTCCGAAGTGCCCTTCACAGCAACTTGGCACAACCCTGTAGGCCCCGCCCCCACCTGCCCGGACTGGACTGTCCCTCCAACTCCTCTCCCAGACGCCCTGAGCCCAGGCTCAAGTGCCCATCTCCTCTCCAGCTCCCCTCCCCTCCCTCTGCAATTCGACCCTTTCTTCCCCCTCCCCCACCCCATATATTTTTATTGATTTCAGAGAGGAAGAGGGAGGGAGAGAGAGATAGAAACATCAATGATGAGAGAGAAACATTGATCAGCTGCCTCCTATACGTCCCCCACTGGGGATTGAACCCACAACTCAGGCATGTGTCCTTGACCGGAATCAAACACAGGACCCTTCATTCCACAGGCTGACATTCTATCCACTGAGCCAAACCAGGTAGGGCAATTTGACCCTTTCTAAAGTGCATGCACGTGTGTGCGTGCGCACGCGCGCACACACACACACACACACACACACACACACACACTAACACACACAGTCGGCAGGCTCCCTTGCACCTTTCCTGAGTCCTCACACAGACCAGGCTCACCCCACAACCCCAAGGAGTGACAGCAGATCCTGGGATGGCCGTGCAGAGAAAGCCGCTGAGGAAAGGGCTGGGGGCAGGAGTCATGAGCGGTGCAGGAGAGACAGCATGCTAAACCTCAGAGAGGGCAGACAAGGCACCCCGCGGCCACAGTCACAGAGAAGCCAGGGCCGCTACAGCGTCTGCCCTTTCCCCCAGCTCTCAATGAGGGGTTGGGGCTGGAGAACTACCATGACGGATGAGAAAAGTGGGAAGCTTAGAGATGGTATAGGAGGCATGATGGGAAAATGTCAAGTTCAGTTGAGAATGAGTTGGAGCTAGTTAGAAATAAAAATCATGTGTGGGATTCTGTTTCAGAATTTGGGTTAGTGACTGAGGTCCAGATAAGGACCAGTGGGCACAAGTTTTGGACACGTGTGACCTTGGGACTCCCTGAGCCCCTACTCAGACTTCCCAAGCCTCAACAGTTCCTGCTGGTCCACCCCAGAAGGGGGATACTGGGAGGGAGCGTGCTGGATATGCCCACATCTCTCCCATCGAGTGATATCCTGGAGCCGGCCCAGACTCGTAAGAGCAAACAGTCTGAAATAAACTTTATTGCACTACAAATAAAAATTAAAAAAGCAAATAGCACTGCAGTAGGCCCCATTACTGGAAGGAGCGGCTGCCAGCACTGTGACAAAGGGCGGTTGATTAGATGCTATGAACTGAGCTGTTATCAAGGGAATAATGGAGGAAAGAAGAATTCGCTTGTGAGGAGTATGTGAATTCCTGATGACAGACCTGGAGAAGAATGAAGAGACCCTAAAGATAAAAGATCTCCTCCTCACCGAGATCAACCGTGCACTGCAGAACCCTCCTCTACTCAGCAAATGGGCTGGGCCTTGCCCTCGGCCCCAGGAGCA